GAAAACTTATTGTCTATTCTAATTATGATTATCCAAGATAAAAACCATCTCTTTTTGTTTAACGATAACCTTGCATAATGTATAGAGTTATAGTGACCAAATTTAAATTTCACGTACCAAATTTTTAATGGAATTACTCCTCGTGCATGTATATTTAGGAATGTACAGAAACATCTAATTTCGATTAAAATATTTATACAGGGGCTGATTCTAAATCTTTGGTCAATTTTAAAATAATAATTAATAGAACTTGTCGATATTTTGTATACACGCATATATTCAAAATGCTGTCAAACAATGTAATGTTTCAGTAAGCTTTTTTGTGAAATTAAGCCCCTCCAACTGGACTTGTACTAATTTCCAATATTTCATCTTAGACTACATTTAAAGAAATCGGCAGTCGATTTTTTTTTTTGAAATTTCATACTGATTTTCAAAATTATAAACTACACGAAGAATCAAATTTTTTATTTTTTAAACCATATCAACCGGAATATTACTAACTTCCTTTATATTTTAAATCTTCAATCCTTTCATCTAATTCATAATATGCAAATATATTATTTAGAAAATTCACAATAAAACTTTCAGTTATGACGTACTGATCGCACCGTCAAAAATCGATTTTTTTTTTCTTGTTATATGCTCCCACTTTTCTTTGGCGTTATTCAAAAACACTTTCTCTTTCTTCTTTGAAATTCTTTTGTTAGTATATATAATAGACTTGATTTATGATAATTTGATTAATTACTAAAGATGAATGAAATTTTTACCTTATCCCACTTTGTAAATAACTGTAAATACAAACAAGTTTACTTAGCACCTGGAATGTGAAAAAAACTTTTTTATTCAACTAGATGACATATTTTTTGTTAAAATATACTCTTACAAAACAAAAAATTTAATTAAAATAATTAGGTATCTAGCTATTCAAAATATGTGTGTATATTTTATAGAGTAGCAAACATATGTACATACTTGTACATATTCAAAAATATGCAGGTATGTTGTATAAAATGCTTTTAAAATCATCATAAATTTTATTTATTTAAATTTTATTATCGCAAATATGAAATCATTTGTGGTAACAAGAATTCCGGAATTCAAAAAAATATTTTTAATGTATTTTTTTTTTTTAATAAAATAGAAAATAAAATAAATAGAACCACAATAGCTCAGTAAAAAGCAATTAATAATTCAACACCATAGAAACCATAAAAAAATAGAATGAATATTTTGGTATTTTGTCAGTTTCAGAGACATTGTGTTCAAACCAAACATTGAAAAATTTTCAAACTTAGTTAATTGAAATAAAAATTGCTTTATTAAAATGTCAACAACATTTTGCAGTTCTAACTAATCAGAAAATTGCAATCTAATTGATAATACTGAATTGCCATACATAGTTTAATTAATTCGGAAAATTTTTGCTCTAATCTAATTTTTTTTTTGTATTCGGATCCTTTTTTCAATTTAAAAATATAAAAATAAATTTGTATGTGTATATGTAGATTTAAAAACGCGATAAATATTTTTATTAATTAAAAATTTTTAGCACACCGACAAAATCATTTTGATAAAATGTTGACATTTTTTTTCCTTTTTTTCTCCCTCTTCATCAATTACAAATCATTGCAATTAGTGGGCGTTTTGTACATTTGCTTTTTTAAAAACGCCGCCAAAGTTCTAAAGACAAGAGCTTGAATATGCACTAGTATAGTAAGGGTATACGAAAGGAAAGTACAACGGCCAAAGAACACAAATCGCACATTTGTGAGAACAATGACATAAGTCAAAATGCTGAGTCGCAAGGCTACTGTTATTATAATTATATATAAAGCTGCCCTGTAACAAAATAATACAGAATATTGGTTCATATATTTGTAGAATAGTTCGATACCAGCGTTTCTTAACCATTGATAGTAATTTACATACGACTATAAATATTTTAAATTTCGGAAGTCGAGACTATATTTTTGAGTTATGTCGTTATTCTTTACAATGCGCGAAATGTACAAAGACCTAATAATTCTTTTAAACTTTAAAACGAGTAATTGCTACTTTTATTATACTCGTATTCCACTACATACTTATATGAACATATATTAATAGTTATAAGTGAAACTGGCAGTGTCATTCTCTTTATGGCGTAATTGAAACTCTTATCATCATCTAGTAATCAACAAATTAATTTGAAGCACACATTCAAATACATTAAATAATACAATTACCAACAAAAGATCGGTAAATGACAATACGTAAATTGATCTAATATATAAAAAAAGAGTAAACACAATCTGTCAAATTACTTTCCGAATCTGTCAAATTAATATTTAAATTTAATAGCTTTTGCAATGAGAAGTGTATAAGAAAGACCTGACTAATATTAACTAATTATATTCTATGATATTTTTGTAATGATGGTAATGCTGTTGTATACACATAAAAAGCAGTCAGTTGTACGTTGATTTCACAAAATTTTATTAAATTTTCATTTAAATAGAATTTTATTGCGGAATTTCAATCTTGATTAAAACAGAATTTAAGTTTCAAAATATTTTTGCACACAATAACTAAAAAAAATTATTCGAATTTTTAATCATCATAGTCGAGTACCAGCAATCTTCTTCGCATATATCATAACAAAAATTCATACATACAACGTTATATGAAAGTCAGAGTATCATAATAATATTGCATTTGATTATGATGCGAATATTGTATATTAACAATGAGGTAAATTAATTTAATTCAGTCGGAAAAAAAAAAAATTAAGATAAACTCGTAAAATGTCATATAAAATAACAACAACATTATTTCGTTGGAATGTTAATAATACTTGTACAATAACAATAAATTAAAATGCATACAAGACTTGGAATATACATGCATACATATCTTAAATACACAACATATACATACATATATAAGAAAATATATTAAAATTTAGTAGAAAAATGAAAATAATAAATTTTATTTTTTAATTTTAATATCGCGTTTGACATACTTACATTTTTTTTTAGGAAATCCTCTTTTAATCTAATATTGATGTTGATATACTCACGCAAAGCAGTGTAAATAATTTTTCAATTCTCAAATTTGGTCTCTCTATTTGATATCATGTCCGTGTTGCATAACAACAAGACACAATGTGCATATCCAATATAAAAATCTTTATCCGCACGTACAAGTCTCTTTTTTCTTGTCCGAAAACAGGCGAGTTTAATTAAAAAATTTAAAATCATTACTTTTTTTCTTGTCTTTTTTCTCTCATATAGGTTCGTCCGTATACGTACATATGTATATAATGTTTATATATTCCATATTTCATATGTATATGCACATAATACAAATCATACTTAAATTGTCAAAAATTTAGAGAGTCATGTTTAAGCAACAAAAATAAATTGAAATTAAGTTTTTATTACTTGTAATATTTTTATTTTTGTGATGAAAGCACAATATACAACACACACGAAGGAAAGTAATTGATTATTTACGCGACGTAACAAATATTTTGTGCATGTAATTTGCGAAGTAATGTCGTGAGTAGGATTTCGTATTACAACAATAGTTACTCTTATTGATTACACTAAAAACTTTTGGAATCATTCTGTTTGTGTATAACAAATCATAAAACATTAATGCTAATATATTTTGAACACTATCTTAGAGTATCTGAATAAGAAATTTGAGTTGATACCTGATATACGATCTTGCTTTTCTCTGGTAAAACTTTGCTCCGTCCAATTCAATTGATAAGGTGTGTTTAAAAAACTATTTGTTTATACAAAAATCACAAAAATGTAAGTGTACGTACTTAAATATATAAACTTGTATAAACTTATAAACTTACTAATCGAGTACATTTAAAGTGCATTGTACATATTATCTGCGTATATATAAAATATACATACATATATAAGTTGGATATGTAAGAACATAACTCGAACACAAAAAATTAAAACATATGTATGTATGTATGTAAACGTTTGATACTTAAACAAACTGTAAAATGAGAGCGTAACATGAATATCTGGGTCAATTGTAATGCTTTATGGCACAAACACTCAATACTTTATTGTCACTTATATTTATCTCATTTGAATTTAAAAGAAACATACACAAAATACATATTTTACTTTACGCATTTTATGGTGAAACATAAAAAAAAACAAATTTATTTTTGTAATTACTTTTTTTCAATAATATTTCCAATTTGAGCAGTTCCCCGTTAAAGCAGTTCCTTCGATCAGTTTCATAACATATGCATATACTCTCTTAAATTTACATACGAGCTACGAAAATAAATAATTTTCGATGTAATTTCGACAGTAGACTAGACTTAATTCATTTACACCTCGTCGTCCAAAATTCATCTGAATTTTATATCAGAGTAGTCTGATTTTTTTGATACGCGACAGACTATACATTTAATCATATTCTTCGATGCTGCAGTGCTCTATTATTCCCAATTTTCGAAATTTTGCTACCCAAAAAAATCGACTTCCAACAAATTAATAAATTATTTGCCTAAAAATTGTAGAGGTTGAAAAGTTCTCTTCAATAATTTTTCTTAGCCTCTCATTCGACACATTTTAAATTTGGAATACTCGGGTTATTTCCCCTATTCCTGGTCAAATTACGAAACAGACACATTTAAAAAAAAAAAATTTTTTTAAAACCATACCAGAAATAAACGTAACCTATTCCGATTGTTTCATGTCAATTGAATGGATGAGGTAGTTATACAGAAAGGCATTCCCACACATATTCATATAATAAATAGATTAATGATACATATATGAATATACATATTTACATACATATAACTACAGTTTTTTGTTTTAGAAAACTTTTAAGCTAATCTACATCAATTCAGTACTTTTTTAACAAGAATTTTAATTAATTTAAAATTCCATATTTTTAAAACAAAATTTATTTCTAAAAATATGTTAATCTACATATTAAAAATATATTTTTTTTTATTTTATTTTCAGGTGCCAGTCACTCTATGTAATTTAGGTGTAGGAGCAACATTTGGTGAATCAATTCTACATGATTTACCTCGTGATAGTACAGTTGTTACTAAAACAACATGTGAATTGTTACGCGTAGAACAACAAGATTTTCGTCTTATATGGGAGGTAAGTGTTTAAAAATATTTTATACAAGAGTAATAGTGCCAGGACAAGAAAAGTTAATCATTCCTGTAATATACATTAAAACTGGTCTGGCCATTGCGGAGAATCTAATTTATAATATTTTTACGAACTAGAACCATTCTGTTATAAACTTGCCCGATATACTGTTTCAATTTTATATTTTCTTCTGCCCCTTGTCACATTTCGACCGAAAAACTCAAAATTTCCATGTTTATTACTTCCATTTAACACTGTTTAACCATTTAATTAAACGAACAAAATATTACGAATGAAGTATGCTTGAAAATTTCTTTTAAATAAATATAAAGCTGTGTGAAATTTTTGAAACCTTAGATATTTTAAGGGTTAACTTTGATCTTAACTTAATTTTGCAATTGTTTTAATTTCCTTGACCAACTCTGTGATTCTTCTTCTTCTGCTTTTCCTAATAATGCATTTGCTTATATTTTTTTATATTGAATTCTTTTTTCTGTTGAATTTTTAAAACTTTTTTAAACTTTTTACTTTTTACAAATTTAGAAAAGAATAAATTTTCCAAAAAAAAAGGTTTTATAAACCCAAAAAAAAAAAAATTCAAAAAAAAAGATTGATATAAATTTTGATTGAGAAGGATAAAAAAGATAAAAATAAATTCGAAAGAAATGTCGATGCCCCAACTAACTTTCAAATTAAGCTAGAAAGGATAAAAATGGATTTTTTTTAAAAGGCTGATAAAATACTGAAAATGTTTAATGTGAGTAAAAGAAAGCAATAAAGATATCAAAGCATAAATTCAAATCTGTTTAATTAAAAAATAAAAATTTTAAGAAATTTGGACTAAAATAAAATTTTGAGTGTATTAAATTCAATTTATAAGAAATATTTGAGTTCTTGTCGAATTTCAATTTATTAGATATAAAGGTAATTTTAGATTAAATTTACAAAAATATCTCTGAGAGTTGCTATAAAAAGTAAAGTTCGTAGTTTACACATTTTATTTAGAATTTTCCATTTATAACAGGGGTAATTTTACTCAATTCTATAACTATTTTTAAATTTAATCAAATAAAAAATGTTTTTACGGAGAAATTTAAGAAAATTATGCAGATAACAACCGATTTTACTCGATAATATACGAACATACAAATATAAAATTTTTAAAGATGAGGGAACCTCAATTCACGTTCTGAATATAAATAGGTGATGCAAAATATAAATTTCAACAAAAGCGCATTGATTGCCTTAACAAAAACAAGGAGCAAGAAAAAATTAACAAGTTCAATCTGTTTGGTGAGTAAATTGCGTACTATATAAAGGTTAAGTACATGATGGTAACCGTAGATGACCGCCTCTCCTGGAATACTCGTATAGAAAGGGTCATCGAAAGAGAAACGGCTGCCTTGTGAACTTGCAAGACTTGGGGCGTTAGTTCTGCGGTGACAGGCCGGCCGTCACCTATGCGTCCGCGGTGTGATGCAATAAGATAGAGTAGATAGGTTTGCAAGTCAATCTGGAGTAGCCTCAAAGGTTGAATCTTCTTCAATATTGCAGGGAATAAATGACCCACGGCACTCATAGAGCATTCGTTCTCGGGATAGTCATCTCGGATATCTATTTCCCACGGTGTAGTTCTGATTGTGGATACAAAAGGTGTTTACGTAGCGCGTATAAGAGCGAGTCTGAACAGCGAGGCGGCGTTGTCGGCTCAAGTTATATACCACCTGATTCGAAACTCTGTGCTAGCGCTGGTTGAGCTTACATCAATGAACAAGCATAGGCACAACGAAATTGCTGATGAGTTGACGTGGAGGGAATCTGAGATTTATTTTCTTTGGGATGTTTGATGATGTTCGTTTGCCCATATCTCTCTTCAATGATCTACAATCCATTTTCTAATATTAGACCGTATTCAAAGACCGCAATTTCATGCAGAGAATATTAAGCTCCTCCCCGGGTGTGTTTGTCCTCAAATAGAAGACATATTCAAATGCATTTTTAAAAAGAAAATGAGTTCATCACTACAAACTTTGCACTTGCACTTATTATAATTTTTTACCACATATATACAGATCGACCAGTGTAAATCAGCAGAAATCGTTAATTTGATATAAAGCAACTATTTAATTTAAATTTTTATTACAATTGTACAATGTCAATAACAATTATTTCATTTTATTAGAATATAAAATAAATTTGAAAGGGATTTGCGTTACATTAATTTAATAAGATTTTTTTAAGAATTTTAGTTCGCAATAATGACCAGCATTATGTTCAATTAGCTTTAGTCACGTTAAACGACATAAAATAATCACTTCAAAGAAAATAAGTGTAGGTTCACGTAAAAAATTTTGTTTTTAAGCAATTTCAATGTTATTACGAATTTTAATAATGATCATGTAATAAACTAAATTTTCACGGTATAAACTTGTATATTCTAACAAAATACTCTTATTAAGTAATTTAAAAAAAAAAAATAAAAGAAAAAATTAAAGCAAACCTTTTAATAAGCTTAGAAAATTTTTATTATAGCTTTTAATTTTAATCTAGCTATTTCGTTAAATCTAACCATCTAACTATATACAGTACTGAAATAAAGACATTTCAAATAAAAACAAATAATCAACTCAAGAAAACAAAATTAAAAAAATAAAATTTTTAAGATGATAAAATTTTAATTTTAATGTTATTATCTTGTTTATTTCTTTAGCTTGCTTTTAAAAAATTCTCTGCTCCCCGCTTAGTTTAAAGTACTTTTGTACATAAGGTAGAAAAAAATAACAATGACCTTTATGGAATTACTCAAAACTTGTAGAAAAATATATGAAATTGTAAACTTTAAAAATATGAAAATTAAATGAGCATAAGAATTTGAAAATGCTTTCCAATGATTAAACTTATTTCGTAATTTAATTCAAGCACAATAAGCACTGCTCAAGCAATATCACTGCGCAAAGAACTAGATTAGAAGATGAAAAATTTAAAATTATTACTAAATATTTCTTATTTTTCTATTTGCAGTCAATTGCTACAAGATTTTTTAAAATTAATAGTTATTGTTCATCCGTTCCGCGTGCCTCCGTTTATGCACTTTTTCCTTATCTCTCCCCTTCCTCCCTCAGTTTGATCATCTACGAGTATTTAGTTTATCTGCATGAAGATTCATAACTTTTATACTTTTCTTAACTTTTAATGATTACACTTTAAAATTTAACTTATTGAAACCTTCGAATAGTCTCACTCCCTTTTTATTTTAAATCGACGGCCCCATTCGCTTTCGTCTTCTAACTGTAACTTACTAATTTATTGCAATGACGGTAATATGGTTATCTTGTCAAAATTGTCTTTTTTATCCGAACTCCTGATGTAATTTCTCTTTTACGAAAAAAATTGTAAATAAATCTTAAATTTTAAAAGTTTATAAATATCAATAATTTTATTCTCTCCAAGTCCCTTTAAAGGTGAGTGGGAGTGAGAGAGCAATTCCTTTTTTAATAATTGTTTCAACGTTCCTTATTGCTTTTGTTATCATCCTTTATTGTGTACATTTTTTTGCAAGAAAAACTAATTATTATTTTTATATACACTAGTACACATAATAACATTGCTATGAAGTGTTGACAAGATAAAATATTGGAAAAAAAAAATTAAAATTAAAAAAAATATTGGTTTTTCAATATTTATTAAACAAAAAAAAAAATTTTTTATAAAGTTTTCTACTTCATAATAAATCATCGCTTTACTCAAAAATATTACTCGTATAATAAGGTCAATGAACTGAAAAAAAAATGGAAGGGGATTTACTGCGTAAATACGATAAACCATGCGTTACACCTAACGATATTTTCTCTTTCTAAAGCTCCAACTGTTCAACAAAAGAAAAAAAAAACTAGTGTAAATAGACCGAAAATAATAAATAAATAAATAAATAAAAATCATAACAAAAAAAAAATATTCCCCATTAAAAAAAATATGTTGAAACATTTTCATAAGTTGAGTTGAGTTTGAGTCGAATTGTATTTGTATAAATTTAAAATAAATTCAGCATTCTCAACACATGGTGGAGTTGAAAAAACTTTTTGAGAGACTGGGAATGGTGCAAATTGCGCTTATGACTCTTACGAACAATTCAAACTCTAAGAGATTAAAAGTTCAAACATCGAATTATTGTACGTAAAATAATACTAAAAAAAAATCACAAAACATTCAAACTAGTTTTTCCAAATTTAGACCACATTGTTTTCAACTCAACAATATTAAAAACACGAAAGAAAAAAACAAAGAACCAGAAATTTTTATGTAAACGTATTTTAAGAAAAACGATCTTTACATTAGCATTTCAATAAAGACCAGTTTAGGCAACATGGTTTGACTTATCTGAAAAGAGGCTACTCCGTACCCATAGCTATCAAAAACTTTTTTTTGTACCATTATCTAAATATTTTATTCAATCGCTTTTAGCACAAAATACACGAAGATTTAAAAAAAACTTAAGGGCTTAGTTATAGTTGTTCAATATTAATTATAATTATAATACGGATAACAGTTTAACCTGAAAGTAAATACAACCTTTTTTTTTTAATTTTTGTTTTAAGCACATTTCAAAAAACACACATGAAAAAACGATGTGCTCATTGGTTTTTACTGTATCCGTCCGTGCGATATCTCAAATTTTATTTACTAATGGTCTTTTTGAGAAATATATTTCTCTAAAAGAAAATTTTTTTACTTATTTGCCCGCTTCTGAAAGTTATTAGACCTTCAGCTATAAATATCACTTTTCTGATACCTCAGTCCAAAATAATTGGGACCATTTTTTAAATCTCACAAACGCTGAAAAACAACGATTTGTTTCTTCTACTGCCAAATGGTATAGATAAATCGATTTTGCATAGGCCATTAAAATCAACCATAATTTTGAATCGCTCATTTTTCATAATTTTTCCAAATGGAGAGCAAGTAACAGAAATCTGAATTTTCAACACAAATAAATGAATAACTTTCTT